TCCGATGTCTATTCATTCTTTTTACTATGGAAATGTATGTGGAAGACGAATTCAATTTTAGAATAGGCTCTGAGGAAGTAATAGATGAAGTAGTAGGGCAGGTATTTGATGAAGTTTGATGGAGATGAATATTGTAATTCTTCGATGTGTCTAAATATGCATACTTGTAAAAAGATGAAATTGAATTTGGTAATGAGCTCCATGAGTCTACTGTAAAACGTAGATGATGTACTGTCGGAAGCTATGGGATGAAAATGATTACTTCTATGTTCATGAAAAATGGTGTTGATTACATCTCTAGGTACTACTGTAATACAATCGATACTGTAGAAAGGTACTTAATGGAATAATCATCAATTCTTCTTCTTGTCCAAATGTATGCAAAGGATGAAATTGAATTTGGAAAAGGGCTATTCATATTGGCCATGTATTGTTTATATAGTGTTGTATCATGGGAAGATAGATATCTGATAGTGATTTTTACTGTCTCAGTACTGTACATCTATCGGCACTACAATACAGTATATAATGAATCGATGATGAATTCTAATTTTGTACGACACATGGTTAGAGTAGTAGCGAAGTATGTTTGTAAGATGTGTATAGCATTGAGGAAAAAGGATTGCTGCAACTGCTAAGTTGGTAACAAGAGACCATCAGGTTGAGTAACGATTGAATTTCAATCTGCAGTTTCCAAATGGTAAAGTATTCATGGTGTACAACATGACGAAATTGACTACCAAGTCGATGATCTAAGTGATTTAATCAAGTGTATTCTTATCATGAATATTAATCTATCGTGATGAATTGTATGGTTATTTAGTTGCTAATTATTCTTGAAACACGCCGTCTATGTATCATGCAATCTACCATGGTCAGATTGATCATTATCCTACTTGTACTTTATCAACTTGGACATGATAATGTTAAATGAATTCTTTTTCACCCTCTTTGATGACAGTTTTAATAAGAGTAGGAAAAAATAGATTGAATACTTACGATTCGATCCAATCAATCCAATTAGAAGCGATCTTAGCTGATGCAAAATTGGTTCTAACAATTTTCTTCTTGTTTTCTCACCTCAATCAATCTACTGGTCACAATCTGATCCGTTGATGGTAGTGCTAGCAAAAATAGAAGAATTTTAGACTGGATTGATCATCAGTTCCTGTAGTCAAGAGCTCGATGGCTTATTTCTCTCTCTTTCTCTTCCTCACCTTGGTCAGTCTCCCGCTTTGGGTCTAGCTGGCTTCGACCTAAAAAAACAAAATAAAAAATTAGATTATTGAATTGTCATCCACAATACAGTATTATTTAGTACTGTACTGTACACTGGAGGTGTTGCTGAATTGTACAGTACACTGTACTGTACAGATCGACGTAGTATTGTAACGAAGCAGGTAGTACTGTAGTAGGTAGGGCAAACGTATGGGTTTGCCCTGCCTACCTGGTCGTCTTCTTCCAATAGTCCTTGTCTAACCGAACCTAAAATATCCCCTTGCAATTTGCAAAAGAAGAGAAAAGCGAGGTAAAATTACAGTAAAAATAATCAGTGTGAGCCTTAGGCACAATCTATGCGATTTTTTCATGTCTTATTAATGAACCAGCGTGGTCTAAATGCAGTGATTAGTCCCGGACTACAGGAGTAGACAGTCTGCAAAGAGCTCTTCTAAGCAGCAGATAGATGACGGCTTTGTTATAATATCATTGGCAAAGCTGCTAAAATTGAAAAGAAATTGGCGATAAACTCATCATTTGTGTGCTTAATCAATTAATATGAAGAGTCGACTATAATAATAGTTCTAGTCGTAAGAGAAAAACCCTCCAGTGTGCACTCTAAAGTACTCGTGTAGACTGTAGACTGGAAAGGTCATCCAAAGTCAACTTGAACTCGTTCAAAATGGAGGAGTGGTATGCTTCTGTCTCGATGTCCCATCTTGTATCTGGGTAGAAAACATACTAGAGTTGTAGGGATAAAATCGCATCTTTTAATAGGGTTAGTGCACCTGACTAAGATAACAGATCATGGCCGACATTGGCCCACAGATATCATCAGTAATGCTACCTAGACGAGTTTATGATACAGAACCATAATGCAAGATCGATATCATGACCGACATTGGCCCACAGATATCAACAGTAATGCTGCCTAGACGAGTTTATGATACAGAACCATAATGCAAGATCGATGAAATTTGACGATGGATGCCTCACAGTATTATAACTTACTAGCAAATGCCTAGAAAACATACTAGAGTTGTAGGGATAAAGTCGTACTTTTTATAGGGTTAGTGCACCTGACTAAGATGATAATAGATCATGACTGATATTGGCCCGCAGATAACAACAGTAAAGCTGCCTAGACGAGTTTATAATACAGAACCATAATGCAAGATCGATGAAATTTGACGATGGATGCCTCGCAGTATTATAATTTACTACCAAAGGCCTATTACTGGAATCAAAGTGATGCTGTTTGCGTTGCTCCAGTAAGTAAATTTTATCGTTTAAGATATTCCATCCTACAATCTGAGATATCAAGTCGCCCCCCCCCTACCCCTACCCAAAATAAAGATGGAATAAAATCCACTCTACAGTATCGACATTAACGAGTAAAAGACAAACAAGGACATACAGTATTAATTAACAGCACTTTAATAGTACCGCTGACAATAATATAGATTGTCCTTGATAG